GAGCTCAGAGATGCTCAGAATATATGCTACTCTATTAGAGAGACACTAGCACTTTGTTACAATCACTTTTGCTTGGTAAGAATCACAAGTGAATCCACAACAAAAATTCCCTGTTTCAGGAGCAGGAGCTATTCAACTTCCACAAGCGACAGTTCCAGTGCATGCATTGACACATAATCGAAAGAAATGTATATAGAGATCGTGTACCATTTTTAAGAAGCACTCGGGACTGTACTTTCCAGCAAGTTTTCCTGGCAATATGAAGCGCGTGCTCTCAATCTGCATTTCGAGAAGCTTGACATCTGCAAATTCACAGGTTTTATCACTACTACATGTTGAAAGACAACTAACAGAAGCCTTTAGGCCAAAAAACCATACAATAAATAAGAAACACTCCAGCTTATTCAGAAAAACAAATAGCAAAAAGTACAAGAAACAATAATTAGATGCACTCATGCATCAAAATAATAGGAAGAAAATGATTTTCCAAAGCTCATTAGTGACAGGATAACAAGTAAAAAATTCCTGATAGTCCTGAAGGTACTCCAGAACAAACTACACAAACTTATGCATGAGTTCTACTTATCAAAAAAACAAAAAAATTATGTATGAGTTCTCTTTTGTATCATTAAAGGTTTTATATATATATATATAGTGATCTTTCCTTGTAGGGGATAGTTTCTCCATAAATCCAGGCTTATAAATGCTTTCATGCACTGAAATTTTATTGACTGTCATCCAGAACTCTGAACCTACAATGACCTGAAGTTTAAAGCAGATGTTGATTCCTCAAGTACAATTTAGCAAGTTACCTGGGATAGATGAAAAGTTTGAAGTCCCTTCCACAACATCATGATAAGTAATCTGTACTTTAGGTTGATCCATCAAACTCATATTTGAAGTCATCAATTCTGGACCTTTAGGAAATAATTTCGGATCTTTTTGGTATAATGCTTTCCACAAGGTGGACATCCAAGGATCCAGAGCACCTTCATACCTGCAAAAGGAAATTTGATGCATCAATTCAACCTTCGAAGAGAACAGCGGCTAAATAACAAGACATTCTTCAGGGCGCCCATGATAACCAGATGAATGGCATGATAAAGTGAACAGACATAAGGTGATAGACAAAGAGCAGTTCCTAAAATTCTTCTTTATGATAACTGAGAAATCCGGTCGTTTCATCTTTGAAACTCGGTGGATAATGAGCTTCCCCTCTACCCTCTCCAACATCTCTCCTCCCTCTAACCTGAAATTCTGCTAGAGTATTTGAAAAAATTTCAGAAGAAACGAAGAAAGAGGAGCACTCAACATAAGCAGGTGAGCAGCCTCTCCAAAGCAGTAAAGCCATTGTATTCCTAAAGTAAAGAAGCTTCAGCACATATAATCAACTACAATCACGTAGAGAGCAAAAACTTCTGCATTCTTAAATTACCATTACCTACAAAACAAGGAAGATTCAAGATCCTAACATGCAAATTCTTTTAGATCTGTCTCCTGAAGAGTTGGATTGAAGAAGTTTAATGTCATTCAATCCCTGTGGTTTAGTTGAATAAATATTAAATGGACAAATAATCATCCTGTATATCACATTGGATTCTCCTTCTTAACAATTGCAAAAGATGATGAAACAACACGCTCGTTTGGACAGAAGGAAACAGAAAGGTGCTTTTGATTAGTTCAAAAAAATTATTTTTCAGTTCAAAAAGGTGCTTTGAAGATAGTGTTAACTCAATCCAAATGATCAAGTTTAATTGCATTTTTTTTAATTGTTACTAATTTTGTTTTACTTTTGGTGCAAGGAATTAATAGATGAGGCTGAATCACTGTTAGCATTTATGGAATTGGAATTCCTACAGGAATAGAAGGGAATACTTTTGCCTTTTGCTATACCTGTAAAGAATTGTTAGCAGCATCTTAGGGAAGTACATTATAATCCTTACATTCTCCACACAAAAAGAGGGCAAAAGAAGAGCAAAAAAACAAAAGATGATGAAACAACAGAAGAAAAGGACAAGCTAAACAGGATACATGATGAAATTCAGACCCTATTTCATTATGAGTGGTTTCCTGATTCAACCAATCTACAACATAACATGTGCATTAACAGTGCAGAAGGCCAGATCTTCATGCAGGAATCACTGCAGATGATCAGGCAAAATAAATCTACTATTCCTCTACAAGATTAAAAGTTAACAATACCCTGAAGAGTGCTGATCATCTCCCAGACCTCTTTCCACCACTGCTGTCGCACCAAGATCTGAAAGTCTTTTGTCAAGTTTCTTTGCAACGAACTGCAGCAATAAAATCCATACATCAACATTCAAAGATGGAATACATAATTTCATAAATCTAAAATTTTCTAGATTAAATATTTGCTAGGGCAACAATTCAACCGACAAGCAAAAAAGTCATCTAGAAACACAAAGCACAGATATTGACCAGGATCACTGCCTGTCTTTGTTACAAAGGGAATAAATATATCTTATGGAAAGACAAAGTTGAAAAGTAATTTCAATTACCTAACTGATAAGCCTAAAACACCACAAGACACAGGCCAGAGTTATATCTCAGAAAAAGCGAAAAAGCTGGAGGAGTAAAAAGAGTTTCAAAAAGAAAAGTAGGAAGATTAAACCTCAAGGGTTTTCTTTCTGCTATTATCATTTCTCCTCAGAGTACCATTCTCTTTCCACAGTTCTGGGGCTGTTCTGTCAGTACAGTTGAGGTATCCTAATATCATGTTTTCTTTCTCTTTTTCCCCAATTCCCACTTTTGTCAACATAAACTAGTGATGCACAGTTAAATAAGAACTGTGAAGAAAGATATTCATTCTTAGAAGAAACAATGACACCTCTACGTCTCTCAAGCACATTAAAGTACGAGGATTGCACCAAGCATGGAAATCAGTTGGTTGCTGAAAATATAATCTTTTTTCTCTAGATTTGATTTCGAAATTGAACAATAAGCTCTACTCGTAGGCTTGGTGCCTGGGTCACTGGATTCACTCCAGAATCTGGCCCTAAACATTCCAAGATGATATGACTATATTGGTAAAGTTCTTGCGTACCTGACGACAGGGTTCCCGTTCACTTATCAGAGTGGTTTTCAAATACAGGATTCGCCAAATGACTAATACGATTATTCTGTCCCTAGTTATTGAGGAAATGAAAATGGATGTCCAGTCATTGAGGAGATGAAAATGGCAAAGCATATTCTTGTTGTATGCATGGGCATTGCAAATATTTAAAGGATGTAGATAGCAGATTAAATACCCCTGTTCCTCCTATGTAGTAACAACGAAAACATGTTAAAACATAAAAGCCTAGTCAACTTCTGAAGAATCATTTTTGCGACTTCTCTGTTCCATACAGTGCTTTACCATTCTCTTCCATTATATTAGTTATGGATTTCAGCTGTTTGAAATGAATATATTGCTGGTGACAGTTCGTAATTTGGTGAAGGATTGAGATATTAGTCATCAGCCATTTTGCTGTTATAAATATTAGAACTAAATTATTCTCCTTACATTAGTGAATAAACTTTTGACCCCTTGTTAAGTCACAAAAGCTAATGAGATTGGTTCTGCTCATAGTCTTGTATTGTTTAGGAGAATGGTATAACTGCATATTGGTTACATGATTCACTAAGAGCCCATATCTGGACTTTGTGCTATGGGATACCTATCAAATTGAAATTATAGACATCAAGATTCTCTGGGAGAACTGAACCAGTTGATCCAAATCTTCAAATCAGACTGAGTTGCTTTTGGAAAATCTTAAGCTAAAATAGCAGATAAACAATGAAAAGTAGTATTAGGTAGAGCGAGTGTGTACATTATATTTCTGGTAGCCTGAATCACCCAAACCAAACACAGCATAGTTGACTCTACTAAGCCAGTTCTGGGTAAGATTCCTTTGCAAGAGAAACTTCCAAAATACCTAAAAGAAAAAGACAAGAAAACGAAGAAGTTACAATTATGTACAGTGTCTTCAGGAGTTACACCTACAAGAAACATCAAATATCATGGACCTAATAAACACACGAGAAGCTTAATGGCGATAACAAACAAACCTTAATAGAATCTGGGTTGTCCCCTTGACCTGTAGTTGAGACCACAAAGATTACAATTTCTTGGTCCGGTAGAGAACTCTAACAAAAAGAATGAATAACTAATTAGACCTGTAATTGTTTCTGAAGCAATGAGGAGAGGAAAGGAAAATTACAGGGTCAAAATCATCAACAGAGAGCAACAAGACGGGGCATCCTCTACGCTCAGCTTCACGGCCAAGACGCTCAGCGGCGTCTATGGCATTACCAGTCTCAGATGCATATAAAATTAATAGCTTCTTTGGCTTCTCCTCCATCACCATTGATTGGTTACTGCAATTGAAGTCTTTTGGAATTCAAGAAGATACTAACGGAGCGATAGCGTACTCTTTGCGGGCGCCGTCATAATGGGAACCCCTTTTGTTTTTAATCAAAGAACCCGCGTTAAACCCATTTTTTTTTCAGTAGTAGCAATAGTTTTTTGCTTTTGTTTATTTTTACTTTATACTTTAAAAAATTCAATTAATTTTCTTTTTCGAGTCATATAAATTTTAAACAGTTTTTTTTTAATTACGTCAAAAACAATTATAGAAAAACATCACGTCGAAAACATTAAACAAGTAATAATTATGTCTTAAGAGCTGATTAATTTCCAAAAGAGCCACTGAAAGAAATTGAGTTTTCATTGAACTCCTAACCAAATAATGGTGTGTGGTCTTCTTCCGTTTTTCAAAGTTTAAAGGCAAAATCTCTAAGAAACAAAATGGCAATGAAGTCATTTTGTATGAATGAAGGGTAATTTAAGTTTACCGTTATTCAAGAGATTAGGAGAGATTACGTTGATAAGTTTTAAAAAATTGCCTTAAATGTAGTGGAAATAATCGTTGTGTTTTAACATGGCTATGTCAAATGACTTTATGGCATATGAAAAGTTAAAGAAGCAATCTCTGATCTCTCTCTAGCAAAAAATCATTAGCTGATAAACAATATATAGCACTCTGCAGTACATTCATGGAGAAGAATATCTTTACAATGAAAAAACCTTAACCTCACGCAGCACTAAAATAGTTCTTCTATCTTCAATAAATATTGCCAAACATTGTCAACAATAATACTAACTTTACATAAACCTATTGTGGTGACCTTTCCTAATTTTGGTGCCATTATAGGCTTCAACTGTTTCCTGCTAATCATTTTGGGTCAAAAGAGACCCTGGACTTTTGTAGGCAATTTAACGTGGTCATCATTTTTTGTCAAGGCTGACTAGTTCGTCACCTTCTAAATTTTTAGGAGACTGCTCGGCCAATTCTATATTAGAATGCTGGTCTTTGTTTTCTGCATTTCTCTCTTCATGGTGATCAAGTGTAGTTTGTTCTAAATTTTTAGGAGATCGCTCAGACAAATCTATATCAGAACATAGGTCTTCATTTTCTGTTTTTCTCTCCTCATGGTAATCCTCGAGTGAGGTCATGTCTTTCATATCCTTCTCCTCATGATGATCCTTGACTGTGGTTATGTCTCTCATATCCTTCTCCTCATGGTGATCATCAAGTGTAGTTTGTTCCAACTTTTTAGGAGACTGCTCAGACAGATCTATATCAGAACGTTGGTCTTCGTTATCTGTTTTTCTCTTCTCACGGTGACTCTTGAGTGAGGTTATGTCTTTCAAATCCTTCTCCTCATGGTGATCCTCGAGTGAGGTTGTGTCTTTCAAATCCTTCCCCTCTTGGTGATCCTTGATTGAGGTGATGTCTCTCATTTCCTCATCCTCATGGTGATCATCAAGTGTAATTTGTTCTTTCATGTCTTCATTGCGGTCATCAAGTGGCATGCTTTGTATTTCAGCAGGTTGAATATTCGGCAAAGCACCTTCATTTGTTTCACTAGATTCCTCTCTACTTCTCTGATGATCCTCATAAGAGGAACCATGTGCTTTTACATCTTCAGAAGACAAATTGCCGCCTGTTCTCTTTTGGACCTCCAGATTTTCACATGTTTCAGGGCCTTTTCCTACCTCAGACTGAGAATCAGGCAAGATCACATCACCTTGGCGTAACACTGCTCTATCCTTCTCCATGTGGTGAGCATCAGATAACTTGTCATCATGGAAGCCATCTTGGGAACCATTAAGATCCTGTGTCTGGTTGCTGCTATCTGCATTGCCTGACAGAGTCTCATCATCACTAGCCATTTGATTTTCAGCAGTAATTTCTCCTACCTCATCCTCAGGTATTGAAATAGTTTCTCCCTCCAAGCCACCATCTGAAATTGTAGCAGTAGTTTCTTCTACCTCATCCTGTGGTACAGAAATGGATTCTCCCTTAAAGCCATCATCTGAAATTGTGTTTTCAATTGAGCGAGAATCCTGGAACACAGTTTTAGTAGGATCAACTTCGTTCGTAGAAGGAAAAGACTGAAAAGTATCCCAATCATCTTCTTCCTCTTCCTCGGAATTGTCCTCCACCTCTTCACTGCAAGGAGCTGAAACAATAATTTCCTCTTTTCTACTTTCCTCTATTTTTGCAGGCAACTTGATAATAAAAGATGGTCCAGTAGAATTGACTTGTTTCTGGTTCTGGTCTTGCATCACAGAAGCACGTATTATATCCTGCAAGCATAACATTCAATACTATGAATATCTTATTGGTTTCTGCTAACCAAAACTGTATTAACTCATTGAGCCACTCAATACATGCATAAAACTATAAAATCCTTTACAGCCATAGTTTACTGCCAGACGTTAGTGTTAAGAGAGGAAAAATCTCCAGTTAAAACCTTGATGCCAGATTTTGCAGTCAAAATCCCAAAAGAGGGGAAAGGGCTGGTGGACCCTACATAAGAGAAGCACTCCCTTGCGACAATCTCTGTGCTACTACTGTTTTGAAACATCAGAAATTTTTTGATGCACTTCCAAATATAACTGTATTCCAATCAAATTTCAAATTCATTTAAGACGACAAATTAAACAATGATCTGAAGTTTTGTCCCCCCGAAAAAAATCGAACTACAATAACATTTAATTAATACTAAAACATGGAATGAAAGTAGTACAAGGTTCTTAACCTCTACAGTTACCTTACGTGTCAATATTACGATATCAGAAGAACTAGAAAGCATCAAGAAAGAGCACATATTTATAATAAAGTTATAACCTGCAATTGTTGTCTTCTCATCATGGGCATTGTCAGTAAAACCTCCTTGATACAAGCAGATGAGTCAGGGAGTTGAGCCAGTTGTGTAACCAATTTTATAGTTGTGATCTTCAAATCACGTGCTTCCTACAAAGTAAACAAGAACACAATCAGCCAGTGAAGGCAAACAAAGCAAACATAAGTTTCATATATAGCAGAACCTGAGAAGAATTCTCTGACGTTGTAAAAAGGAGAACAGCTTCCAAAAACAGATTCATTAGGCATTTCTGACACTCATTAGTTCTTGAAAGTGTCTGAAGAAGCATTAAAACCTTCAAACACTCCCCAGCAATAGCCACCACTTCCCTGTTCATAGGTGTCTGCCATCAATAGAAAACTATCAGGTTCTGTAAGAACGCGAAATTCAAATCTATTGTCCACCCCAGCTCCTGGCGCCAAATACAAGAATTTAAATTTGCACGTGGAAAATACATAAAACTGAACTTTGGCTACCTTAAAGAGTTTCTGGATTACAGACCCAAGGTCTTCAACAAGTTCCCCAACAAAGAATACAAAGAATGAGTACTCCGAATTGATTTTCCTTGTTCGCACGCCTTTCAGTATTTGCAACCCAATTGCTTGGACCTGCAGTAGACAAATTATGTACGCTAACCAGTGAACAAAAGCATCATTTGAAATAAGATCTGCTTACCTGAATGTCAGCATCAGTAAGAGCACTCCTGAAGCACCGGGTGGCATTGCATATCATGGCATAAAATACTGGCTTACATCCTTGATTTTCTTCAAGAAGTTGAATTTCAAAAGCTAGTTTAGCAAATGAAGTAGTCTGTTCAAGAGAGAGAGCAAGCTTCAACAGCAGCAGTTTATGTAAGTTGGACCTCTTATTCTCAAGCTGATGAATTCCTTTAGTGCAATTCTCAGCCAAAATAACACTCGCAGTCAGACAAGTTCTTGTTATTGTCATCAAGTAACCAATGCTGTCATTTCCAAGTTCAGAGATATCTGTATTTAAAGCAAATAACCATCACTCAAGTACGATAAATAAGTTACTGTGGACTACTTCAAGATTGGAAATCAATAAATGGAAAACAGCACTTTCTCTAGATTATGCAATCTAACCTGGAGCTCACAATCTGGCTCAAGAATATTTTTTTTTCATGTTTCCAAGAATTTCCAGATTTGAAGGATCTCTAGTTTGGAGCCTAATTTGCATTAACTGACAAATTATTTAACGCTGGATTGACAAGAACCTGAATAGAGTGAAATGGATATAGAGGAGTCGTATAACTGACCCTGACCAATCAAGGCATATTTGATTGATTTTTTCATGCGAAAAGAAACACAAACATTAAATAAACTGACTCCATACATTGGGGAAAGAGTTAATTATGAGTACTAGACTGAACAAGATGCTAATTAAAACAAGCTCAAAAGCTTTCTTTACAGCCTAATAATCTAAAGAGGAAGGACCTGAATGCGCCTTATGAGAATTGCTTACCAGTAACATATGTTTTCATCACAGAAGTTAGACACTGGACAAAATCATGAACTCTTGAAAGGGAAATTTCGGTTGAAGCCCTTTCAATGCACTTGTAACCAACCAAAAGAAAACCCAAAATTGATTTCAAACCCATCTGCATGAAAACCGTAAAAAAATGATTAACTATCAACGGATGAAAAATTGAAACGTGGAAGCAGTAGAAGCTTAAAAATATTTACTAGAGACCAAAAGGAACTGTCTGTAAAACATGACACCCACCTTTGGCTCATATTGTTTTAAAAGTGTTGGTGCTGTGGTAAGTAAGACAGAAACAATATCGTCCCAGCTTAAATGGTATTGAGAAGTTGCACTGACAAAAAGAAAGCAAGTTAGTTCAAAATTACTTTTTTTTACTGTTCATGAACAAGGTAATTTGACTTCATCGAAAAGAAGTGGTACCTTGTGAAGGATTTAAAAAGAAGTGCCAAATAAAGTTCTGATACTAAATACACAAAACTTTCGGTCTTTAGGAAATCCAAGGGGCAGTTCTGCACAATCTGCCAAACAAACCGAAAGAAACAAGAAGTTAAAAAGACAGATTTTTATGGGGCTCTTATGCACATATAAATAAGCAATTGAAATATGTTCCTGCATCTACTATAAGAAAATACGTCCAAAATAAACCATAAAAGAACTTTATGGCATCAAGTCCTTTAGATTACACAAAAAATATTTAAAATGACAACCAAAAGGCCATACATGAAAGGAAATCATACGCAACGCAGAAAGTTAAAGGCAACAAAGATAAAACCAGGGTGCATATTAATTTCATTTAAATTGATGGAGAGACCCTTCATTAACTAACTACATCTTGAATGTAATAGCATGATCATGACATGAAATGGGATCTTACCTGTGATAAAATAGAGATAGCAAAATTGTCCCATGTATCTTCAACAAAAATGGAGAAAAAGCAAACCTGCATCCAATTAAATTTTGAGCTTTGATTAGACTTTGCGAAAGGCACATCAAATGAGAATATCTAACCTAACACTTCCTGCACCTCCTAGTGTAGAAATTAAAATGTTAATCCACTAATATGCCTTCTCCTTTTTCACTAATAATGATTTAGCACTTCCCTAAGACGATAAGAAAGAAATGAAGGAGGATTTTGGGATACTAGAAGAACGGGTAACTTCCCTAATCCACTGTGCAAAATGCATACTCTCTAGCTTCATAAAAATGGGTAATAGGAACTCCAAATGATAGCGCTCTGGTGGCTCCATTTATTTAATCAGGTAGTGCTCTGGTGGCTCCATAATACCATGTAACTAATTGGTTATAGCTTTTCATTACTCATTACCAAGTAAGCAATTTGCACAAACCCACAAATAAAGCACATGTCAGAAAATTTCAAGATTCAATCGCTGAAACTAGCATTTCAAGGTTGATGATAATCAAGGTTCAGAATTAGAATGTCAAAAGTTGAAGAATGACAACATTGCTATTCTCTAAGAAGAAACAAATTGATCATTGGCAATATCTATGTAAGGTTTTGCATAGTTGATCACCTATGTGATGTCTAGAGAACCTTAAAATGCACATCCAAGAAATATAACATCCATAATGTGAATCAGACAGAACAAACAACCAAACTACATTAGAGTGACTTAGCATGAAGAACAAGACACTGAAAGTACCTGCAGCAGTTCTTGACAGGAATCCATAGTGAGAAATCCTACACTAAAGAATCTCTCCGCTAACAGGACTTGAAACACAGGCAGAGCAACTTTGCACAACTCCAAAGCAATTGACTTTACTTCATCACTAACACAGCCACCACTTAATAATATGGTATTGACAGAGCCAATATGTAGCCTAGATTCACCAAGAACTGAATCTTGCCCCTGAAATAGAAGAAGAAGAGCAAAGCCCCACAAAAATTGAAATTCTTCTGAACCCAACTCAACCATGTTATAACCCGAAATTAAGTCTGTAATAGACTGTTCTTCAGTTTCTGAGGATCCTTTTATGTAAGTGTTCAAAGGAACTGCATCTAATGCCACCGCTTGCACGATCAGTGGCCAAGCTTCTTCCAGACATGCCAGCAACATAGTTGAAACTAGTGTAGACTGAATCCCATCAAGAAACGGTTTCCACTGCATGTAGTGCATATAGGAACATGGGAAAGAAATTGCCAGAATTAGAAGAGAGAGAAAGAGAGAGCAACTACTTTAAGGGCCGTTTGGACATGTGATATGAAATCAATAATAAAAGACAGAAACATAAACCGAACTATGAGCTCACATTTTCTTTAGGAAATGACTGAGTCCTAATATAGCTGTAGTCCTTCAGAAGACAGAGCCAGTAAATTCCAAGAATTTTTGAACTCTCAGAGAAAAGAGGCAATAAAGCTAAATATTCATCAGTAATCTCCTTTTGTTGATTTTTCAAGAATGCAAAGGTGTAACATTTCAGAGAGGCATGAGCTGTAAGGAGTCTCACTTTGATCTGGAAAGATACATTGATAAATATGTTAGAGAAAAGAGAAACAGTCGTACGAAAATATTTTGGACGTGAGTGAACCAACCTTGCACGAGACCCATTCTGCAAAGGATGGATAGTAAAGGTCATTGAATTCATTTAGAGGACGTGAAATCAATGAAAATATCCGCTTTACAGCAAGTTGATCCCGACTAACAATTTTACATGTCAATATCTGCAATATTCACACATGATCCCATTTAAACTTGCATCAATTAAATTACACCACTGGCTGCATGTATCTAAGTATTCAACAACCTTTGTGGCGAGCTGCAAGCCTGCTTCCAATAGGACAGGGCCAGAGGACGAGTCCAATGCAGTTCGAACTGCAGAAACCAATTGAGCCTGAATGGTAGTGACATAACTAGCTTAGTTGAGCTAATATCAGTAAGGATTTTGCATCATTTTGAATTTGCCTTTAAATTTGGTTATTTAAAATAATTAGGAAGATATAGTTGCTAAGCAGGATAAAACTAAAAAGAATGATCCAAGGACTTACCTGATACTGTTCCAGAAGAAGGTGACCAGGAAGCTCAGGGTCCAATGTTCCAAACTGAAATTTATAGTAACAGCATGAAGTTGATATGTGAACAAATTGCAATTCACATTTCTTTGAATCCAGTGTTTCGTGAAAGAACCAAAATATAAAAGTACGTTATTTTATTCAGCCCCAAAAATCAGGTGCATAATGACTGGCTTCATCAACTCCAATGATCAATTCATAGATGTTCCAATAAATCACTGTGAGTCCAGAATTAAGTACATTTGGTGACAAGCTAGGAGCATATACAATATGTACGCTCCAACATGAAGACAAGCGTTAAGAACGTAAATGTGCGAGAATCTATTCCTCGTAACAGACTAAATGTTTATAATCCCTGTAATTGTATAACCAAGGATTATGAGTTATTTTCTTTTCCTTTTCCAGATCTCTTATAAAAATTAATTAAGGGGGTGTTTGGATTGGCTTTTTAAAAGTACCTTATAAGTTAAAAGCTAAAAGTCATAAATTGGTCATACCCAACTTTTGGCTTTTAGCTTATTTTTGTACTTTTTTTTACCTAAAAGTGCTTCAACGCACTTAGCCTTTCCCAAAACACCTCCAAAAATTAAAAAAAGAGTTTTAAAAGCCAAGAGCTACTTAAAATAAGTCAATCCAAAGGCCTACTAAGAGCCCGTTTGGATTGGCTTAAAAAAAGTACTCCCTCTGTCCCAATGGTTTGGGTTTGGGACTTTCATGTTGGAGGTCTCAAGTTCGAAACCTCTTGCTAGCGAAAGAAAGGGGTTCGCCTTCTGGGTCGAGCTCGTCGCACCGGGCTTGCCTAGTGCGGGTTGCCTCTCTTGTGTGGTTTGCGAGCTATTGCATAGGAGTGGGGGTTTTACCCTGTGCGCACCCAAAGGGTAGCGGCTGCGGGTTTCCCTTGTCATAAAAAAAAAAAACTTGTTTGAATCTCGAAATCTAAAAAGTGTCCCATAAAATGGAACGGAGGGAGTAACTTTTAAGTCAAAAAATAAAAAAAATCCTACTTTTGGTTTTTAGCTTTTTTTAAGTCATTTTAAACTTATTTTAAGTTATTTTTAACTTTGTCAAATATTTTCTAACTTATTTTAAGTAGTTATTTTTATAGTAGCCAAACACTTCATGAAGTCAAAAACTGACTTAAAAATAGGTTTGACCAAACTTTTAAGTCAATCCAAACACCCTCTAAATCCTAACATGCTTGAGAAAATAATCAAGCAATACGTTTCCCAAATCTCTTCCTCCACATACTTCACACCGTGTTTCGAAACTAGCAATTTGAGTATTGCCCTCTAGCGGGCATCTGATTTCTTTAAACTTAGGCGTTGTCCTGAAATTCCATCTTGTTCTTTTTGAGCACAAGCGATGATTGTTCAAGCAAGAGAAAGTATATTACTTTTATTTGTTTAGCAATGGTCAATAAAATCTGAAATATAGAGATAAAAAGGCATCAAATTGTTATAGTTTATATATATGGACTTACAAATGATAAAACTTGAACGCCAAACTTACAGGGTATTGCCTAATAGATAATGCTATACCATTTGAAATGACCATAAGGGAAAAGTCTAACCGAATAATTGAATGAGTACCTTGTCAATAATAGTACTCAATAGGGTCACACCAACTGGCCGCATGTTCTCAAACTGAATTGTGCTGATCTGTAAGATGTAATGGGAGAGAACCAATTTATTTCCCTCACCACAGCTGATTTTAATAGCATAAGTGCAACAAGGGTTGATGTCAAGTATAGCACCTGATAAGCAAGGGAAACTAGTTCTTGCAATTGAAGAACCAGCCAGTCTCCAGAGGTTGATCCACTGGCAGGCTGCTGTCTTGCCAATGCTATATCAAAATGCACTGGATTCTTTCCAACTGCTGCAGGAAGATGACTCAAACACCTAAAATTCAGAGAAGATTATTCAGAAGGATACATTATGTCAGAGAATAACAAACAAAACAAATTTCTTAACAAGACAGTAATTTGAAGAAATAATGCACATTAATATATAGGAAAAGATTCTCTCCCGGAGAGATAACAAAGCGAGAGCCAAAGAGAAGAACGGGTAGGGACTAGGGCAGTATATAAAACTGGAACTAATAGAGGATTCTGTTTTAACTGTAATTTTGAGAGCAGATAAGCTTGCGGATCAGGAGAACATTGTTGTATGCAATTGCATCAATAAACCAATCCAAGATCTTGATACACTGATTAAGTAAATGAGCAGAAGCAGTTCTGAAAGGCTAATTCGATGAAACACTTATTTGGTTAACTGAACTAGTTAACTACACTTATTCTTGTTGCCTTTTGCCTCATTTTGGTTGCAGCATAAAGAACTGGGGATCAAGTAAATGAGCAGAAGCAGTTCTGAAAGGCTAATTCGATGAAACACTTATTTGGTTAACTGAACTAGTTAACTACACTTATTCTTGTTGCCTTTAGCCTCATTTTGGTTGCAGCATAAAGAACTGGGGATCAAGTAAATGAGCAGAAGCAGTTCTGAAAGGCTAATTCGATGAAACACTTATTTGGTTAACTGAACTAGTTAACTACACTTATTCTTGTTGCCTTTAGCCTCATTTTGGTTGCAGCATAAAGAACTGGGGATCAAGTAAATGAGCAGAAGCAGTTCTGAAAGGCTAATTCGATGAAACACTTATTTGGTTAACTGAACTAGTTAACTACACTTATTCTTGTTGCCTTTAGCCTCATTTTGGTTGCAGCATAAAGAACTGGGGTATCAAGAATTATTTTTATTGTCAAACTCATAAAAGAAGATGACATACAATATCACCTTTCTAGGGCTATTATTGCAGATTGCAGATTGCAGAATGCAGATTCTTGCTAGAAACCACCAAGAAAAATACATATACATCTGGAGAGAGACTAACCAATGTGCAAATTTGAATGAAGGTCACAGAAATGAACAAGAGCTGCAAGTTTGGGAAGATGCATTGAAGGATATGGAGTTTTTGCTCCTAGCAGATTTAAGCAATGTACCTTTTGAATGATTTTAGTTTAGTTCTTTCCAGTGTACCAAAAAACAGATCATGTAAACTGCTTTTCCAAAAGAACAGTATAGCCATATATCCATCCAGACAAGGAAGACAAAGGATAAGGCAATAACAAGGTACAGCAGGATGACATTAAAATTTGTGTAATCTTAACAAGGCGACAACAACTTCAATTGAAAAAAATACATTGAAGTGGGCACTGAGTGTAAAGAACTTCAATACTATCTAACTAGCAACCTATAGTGGTAATGTTGGACACCGCAATAGCAGAAGATAGATGCCTTCAATATTCCATTTATTTCATTTCTTCTGCTTCTTTGGCATTAATGATTTACTGTCTCTGTTCTTGGCATTTCATTGTCCTTCTGGAATTGTTTTATATTTGTTCATAACAACTCCCTTGCCTGATTATGCGAGTTTGAATGGTGGGTTGCAGGGAACAAGGAAGCTCGAGATGATGTCAGAAGAAAATGCTTACAAATGGCCTACAGGATAGCTACAGCGCGAGGAAACTAAGAGGGGAGCATAAAACCAAAATTGCTCAGAGAGAGGGATAAGCTTAACATCAGTCACGATACACCAGGAAAGCAACACTCACTCTGCAGCAAAAACTCTTGTTCGATATCTGAGGTGCTTGTCCCTAGGAGGATAGCCAATGGAATGATTGTTTCCATAACCTTGAAAGTTTCGGTTTTGAGAGCTCGACACCATGTTCTCATCATCATCCCCAGTATTCAGTCTAGTGTTACCATCCAGACCACTTGAAGAATCATTTAGTGAACTGTCACTTGTGCTGATCACTCTTGAGGATGACGAAAGAATCTATGCACAATAAATAATTAATTTCAGTGAAGCATTCTGATCACCAGGATAAAACACTAGAAAAGAACAAGAAAGAAAGCTTAACAAGCCATGTGACAGAAAACAAAAATGCTAGACAGGCAAGGTATAGATTGCAGAGATTATAAATGCTTGACACAGGGCTGTGAATTACAAGCAGTCATATGATAACTGATTCTAACTTGCAACGTAGTCCTTCAATAAGATCATAAATATTTAATAGAGGAGTTCCGAAGAATCAATTTACCCTGTTCAGTCTAGCCTAGTTTTAAAGAAGTAAAATAGTTTCATCTGATGACTGCACTCTTTTAATCTTTAGAATAGCTTAACTAATTCTGGAAGATGCCGGCCAGATTACAAATATCAGGGGTGATACAGATAAAAAATTACCATGTTGCGGCAAATTGATAGCCATTGTGATGGCCGTGATGGACATGATGCATAAAGCAATCTCATAACTGTTGTTCGTGCTAAGCTACCAATCCTGCAAAAGTTGAAAGAATTCTAAGTAAGGTGCAAGATTAGTACACAAAAATTTGAAAGCATCAACTTACAGGTAAATGGAAAAAGGTTAAGACAATTAAGCAAAAAGGTATAGCAAATAAAAAAACAAATGTAAATCTGTCCAGGTAGATTAGTATAGAGCACTCAGACAGGCAAAGCTAGCAACAAAAAGAGAAATACAGCAAGCACTTTCATGGGGTAAAGACAAAAGATGCATGGTTATAAAAACTAGTCTCATTCAAATAGTTACTCCCTTAATAACAGTTTATGATACTATCAATATTTTGGGAGTCAACTTTTATTTCTTTGACTACAATTTTCTATAAAAATACACTATTAAAAAAATTGGAAGCTAATTATGTTGTCCTTGTATCTGAATCTATTACTCATATATCCTAAAAAAGAAAGCAATGGCAGATGCTAGACCTAAAAGTAATAAGCCAACCCAAACAAACAAAGAGAGAAGAAGCAATCACCAAATTAGAGAACAATCAAAGGGAGATAAGGTTTAGGACCAGCTTGTGTAGGCATAATCAACTTACTCAGCATCAGTTTCCTCATCCAGCATATGGAACAATGTATCTTCTATATGTTCATTCATAATGGACCCCTACATAAAATCAAGCATCTGTAGTAAGATATAGTGCAAAGCAGACAAATCAGAACTTGGAAACTGTAGGATTGAATTGAAAATAGATCTACTAAAATTTCTATATTTATTGTTTCTTCATAAAGATCTGAAGCACACATTACTTTTCTTATTTGAAGAGTGCTTTCTTAGCAGTATGATTTTCACATGTTGTGTTTTCCATGTGGAAAGAATTATGGGAGCAGTTTTCTTGCCAGTTGAATGTCGAACAATGAAAGAAGTCATCAAAAGTACTCAGCAAAGCCTCCCTAACAGGCGCAGAAGGATTTCAACAAAAATTCAAAAGGTAGGAAGCATATTAACTTGGCTGATGATTTCAATGGGCTCTTCTAGATACAGGAATGGGTATGCGGAAATGACCAGGAAGAAGCAAGGAGGGGGTTGCCCTCAGATCCGAGACAGGGGAAAAGTTTAAAGATTATGAGTTTGGAAGGGGGGAGGTGTATTGGTAGAAAGAAGAGGAAGAAGGAAGGGCAGGTTGATGAGTTGATTTTTTTTTATCAGGTAAATATATTGGTGGAAACATGGTCAAAATGGACGTATACAAGGGGTATACCAAAAGGTAAAGCTGGCATCTACAAAAAGATGTGATTGTTTACAAACTCCAATCATCTATACAACAGGGAACTCTCTGTGCGCACCAAAAGAAAATAAAGGAACAAAGACAGTCCTCAACTTGGAGAAACTCCACTCCACTCTCCTTCAAAAGCTCTCCTGTTTCTCTCTCTGGAATTGAGTTGATTATATATAGACTCAATCAGTTGAAATCTCTTATTGTTTACATGTCTTGAGGTAACTATTTATTTATTCACACTCTTACTTGCTTTTGATAGGTCCTGGTAAGATAACACACTTGACTTAATTCCAGAAATGATCATGAATGAAAAAAAAAGATGAAGGAATCGAATAGCTCAGTACAGCTGCATTGAAAGATTTCTGCAGCTGCGTGAGCAAAATAACACAAATTCCAATGTTAGTGCAGCTGTGCTGCAAAAGTGTTAAGTTCTAAGGCCACATCAAGACTACAGAATGACAATGAAGCTGCACCAGAATATACCCAGAAGGTGCATAAAAGGCCAGCGCATATGTGCTAGTAACGGCCACACATGCACCATAGTTCAGCAGAAAAAGAAGGTTTCTTCGGATTAAAATGTTCCTAATTCTGACGGATTCTTGGGGGGTCTATTTAAGGATGCTAACAGAATGTACAGTGCATTCTTCCAGAGCCTATGCTGAGGAGAACGTAGAGGGATCTCCAAAAGAGGAGATGAAAGTTTGAGGAAGAAGATTAACCTTGTTATATGCAAATGTTTTCATTCCTTTCACCTATTCTGGATTTTGTTAATGAATACTTGCAATCTCTTGGTGTTTATAGTTTCATACATGGGATATATATTTTTTTGAAAATGGTAACGATGTATTATATCACAAAAGTACATGGGTTGTACTCAAACCTTATATACAGATGCACTCTAGACACTCCTACTCTATTTCTATATTGAGTCTAAAACATCAACTATAGAGGCAATGTCATTTGAGTATAATTGATTACACCAAAAACATAACAACAAAATGCAGTTTAGTTTAACATCCTGCACACTATTTTCTATGCCTTCAAAACATCTGGAATTCCTTTCTTTCCAGATTGCCCACCATATTGAAGCAGGGATAATTCTCCATCTAGTTCTGTCTTTTGCAAGGGCACCTGCCTCCTCCCAGCTGTACAAGGCCTCAGTAACTCTCCTAGGCATAGTCCAGGATATGCCTTTAAGGCTCAAGAAAATCCTCCAAAGCTGCCGGGTGTATTTGCAGTGTAGAAATAGATGGTTTACAGTTTCTAAGGTTTCCCCACATAGGAAACACCTAGAGCATAAGGTTATCCCCCTTTTCATTACATTATCCTGAGTCAGGGCAGCTTCCTTAGCTAGCAGCCAAATAAAGCATGAGACTTTGTGTGGGATTCTACACTTCCATATTTGTTTCCAAGGCCAGATGGGACTCTGCTGGCTTGATTCATCCATCAGCCTGTAAGCTGAATGCACTTTGAACTCTCCTCTATTGTTGCCTTTCCACCAAAGCATATCCTCATATGCCTGAAGTCCAGTAAAATGTCCAACCAAGTTGAGGAATTCTGCCAACCTCATCACTTCCCAGTCATTTGGTTCTCTCCTGAAGATGAAATTCCACCCTTGTGGTGTCCATAGTTCTGCAATAGTTCTTTGTTGGAACATTGCCAGATTGTAAACATCAGGAGATACTTCCAATTCCCATCATCTCTAAAATCTTCAGAAGGTACTTCCAATTCACATGATCATATGCTTTTTCTATGTCCAGCTTGCATAGAATGCCAGGTTTCTTCTGCTTAATCCCGGAATCTACAGCTTCATTAGCAATCAACACTGCATCCATAATTTGTCTCCCTTTTATAAAAGCCATTTGTTGTGAGTCTACCAGTCTATCTATCACACCTTTCAACCTTTCTGTGAGAACTTTGGAGAGTATTTTGTAAATGCTCCCTATGAGGCTAATTGGTCTGTAATCCCTTAACTCATTGGGTCCTTTTTTCTTTGGAATGAGTGCAATGAAGGTAGCGTTGAAACTCTTCTCGAAGACTTCTTGCTCATAAAAGTTTGAAATGTGTCCATGATGTCTTTCTTCAGTACATCCCAACACTTGATGAAGAAACCCATTGTGTACCCATCTGGACCAGGAGCCTTATCGGCTGCACATAGCTTTAGGCAATTTAGAACTTCATTCTCCTCAAATCTGCCTTGCAGGGACATTTTCTCCTCTTCAGTCAACATTGGACATTCAGCATTATTATAAGAAGGTCTCCATTGATGTGTTTCTCTATACAGGTTCTTATAATATGCTATTATCTCCCCTTCAATTCTGCTTTTCTCTTGAGTAACCTCTCCTTGTATCATGAGTTGATCTATATTGTTATATCTCCTGTGAGCATTTGCCATTTTGTGGAAGAATTTGGTGTTCTTGTCTCCCTCCTTCAACCATAGTACTCTTGATTTCTGTCTCCATGAAACTTCCTCTTTCTTGACTAGCTCTTCATACTCAAGTAAGACTGCAGCCTTTTTTGTCGTTTCCTCCACAGTGAGAGTTCTATTTACCCTTTCTGTATCTAATTCTGCTAACTGCTCTAACAATCTCCTTCTTTGACTGCCCAGATTTCCACCCTCTTCTTGTTTCCATTCCTTTAGCTTAAGTTTCAGTGCTTTAAGTTTGCATGCCAAAACATAATCAGGTCTTCCTGTGTAACTGAAGGAGCTCCACCACTCTCTAACTCTATCCACAAAACCTTCTGACTGCAGCCACCAATTTTCAAACTTGAAGTAGCTTTTATTCCTCTCCCACCTACTTCACCCCCTAGAATTGAAGCTAACAAGTCTATGTTGTTGACCTCATTGATAGTATACATAGAACTTTTAATCCAGTTAATGTGCAACCCGGATACCCCTTCAAACAGCACCAGGATCACCCTTAAGTATTTCAGTTGGTCTTCCTCAGCTCCACAAAAAATCAGTGTATCATCTGCATACTGAAGATGTGTCACCTCCAAGCTTTCTGTATTTTCTCTAGCCACATCAAAACCTTTTATCCATTATATTTTGGATAGGGATTAAGGGATCTTCAAGTATTTAGCTTTATGAAGAAGAATATTTTATTGCTTATAACAACATTTTTCTGTTTAACATAGACTTAAACAGAGAAGTTGTGTTACTAGAGTTAAAACAATCAATTTGATTCATGAATATTAGCCTGTCTTGATTAGTATATAGCAAGCTATTTAGTAAACAACAAAGAGGTTTAAAGCATAAAAACTGTTTTAATTCTGTTCATACCCCTAATAACTTGCAAAACCTAGCCTTAAGGCATCAAAATATCTAAAGCACAGGAGATGACACATAGAGGTCACAGTCAAGTACTTACTGGATCCTTTTCAATGAGATGTCTCAGAGTGGATAAAGCTAAACGTCGCAGTGTTGGCTGTTGAAAATGAAATTCAGATGCTTCAGTACTCAAAAGATTATCTAAGAAAGGAGTCAATCCCAGAACCATCCACCCATTTTTTCCATGGTAGAGAAAGCATTACCTGTCTTGAGGATAGAGTTGGGAGCAGTGTTTGCACATTATGATGCACAGTAACAGCTTGTGGTGCAAAAAGAACTAGCTGCTGAGTGAATCGAACATTCCTTCAAATTAACAAGTAAAATAAAATAAAATTCAAACACTCAAGAAAATCCATATGAGTATTACAAAACTAGATGAAGCAGGTGTAGTCTAATGAACTTTCATGTGCCCCTGAGACCTAAACCAGACCGGCCTCAAAACCATTGCTTTTTATTTGGTTTATAGATTCAAAAAGGGGACAAAATATATGAAATACAAGTGGCCATACTCATAAAGTGTTGCAGTCTCTTGCCGAGAGCTGACCTCTGCAATGACAGACTGAAGGAAAACACATGATTAGAATGAAACTGGAAAAGTAAAATTAGAAATCTAGTAAACATAGCAAGTTAAAAGATCTAGTAAACAAAAAAGCTTTGCTACTACTGAAGTGAAAAAGCCACTTCAACAAAATATTGAAAGACGTATATGCTAACAAACCCAACAAGGAGTAGAAGATTTATTCCTTGCATGTGTTACCCATGTAAAATATTTTATACCTATTAGATAAATTGTTATGGATATCATAATAGTGATAGTGATCAGTGACATGATAACACAGTTCCTAACCTTGTAATAAAAAACAAATTAAAGAGCTCTGTATGTTAAAAGAATGCATGATAATAGGTCATTTTGTCTAGCACTCCAACAAATACTACATTATGAGTCTCATATTTGCCTCCTTTAAATTTGACTACGTATAGAGAAACTTCAAAAACATGATGAGTTTAACGAATGTCTGGAGACTTATGATGCAATTGTAACCACGATGTGATCCTTTCATTTATCAATAACATATACTTAGTTGCACACATGAGACCATAAAAAGGTAGTATAGAAATGACGTATACATTTCTCAATTCTAGAATCTTATTGATCTCAGAAAGTTCGCTTAACACAAAACTAGCTTTCTAGCATATGCAAGTGAGTTTCAGGAAGTTACTTGCACTTTTGTTTTCTTTAGGTATTGCTGGCGTCTATTATATAGATCAGTAATACAGATTATAAGCTTATAATTGAATTGACTAACCTTGCAGCGCGAGAAAAAAATGCTGCCAGGGGAAAGTTCAGGACCAAGGACAGCAACAATAGCATTTATAAGGCGGCCCACTGCCTGCTGAAGGTTAGTCGAACCAATCTCATTTGACAACAGAATATCCATGGCAAGGCTAAGTGTCGCCTGAAAGTAAATGAAAATCGGAAACTTTAGGCTTAAACAAAAAGTTGAATTAGAATTTAGAACCTAGAGGTGCCAAATAACAAATCTAGCCTTTCTTGCTTTTCACATCAGAGGGTAACCTCTTGCCGCAATATGAACATCAAAAATCAAAATGGAAACAGCTAGTAAAAATGAAATTATAACATATCAGGCAGAGAAGCTTAAAAGGCCTAACAGTGAACTCAAGAAATTTGCTGAATCAAAATTCATCCTGATCGGACTTCAATAGGAGGAGCACAAGGAAGGAGGATCACCCACTCACAAATCTCAAGATGACACAAAATGCTCTGGATAACATAGCAATAAATAGTAGAATGGACAATAGATGCAGATTGAACGAAGGTAGCCAAGTAAAATCTTAATGGATTTATTAACAGAACAAGTTTGTTGATAGCCAATGGTCCTGTAAATCTCAACTTCTTCCACTAGATCCAATATGACAATTAGTTTCTTGATAAGTAACATCCTCAAGAGAGAGCCATAGGCAGCTCGCTGAAGTTTGAGAGTTTCTAACATTTATCACTTTATTATACTTCTGACATAATAAATCAGATGAAGGATAACTGATGTTAGCCATGATTATCAAACAATGCGGATAACTGATGCTCACAGAGACACCGATGCATCACATTCTGAGAATATGGATACCTGAACATGAGAAACATAGGATAATCCAGCCGCCTCCACAGTCAACAGTAGACCATGCAAAGACCAAATTTGTAAGCCAGTGTTTGAACTTTTAGCCAGAGAAGAAAATGAATTAACAGTAGCAGGAACCAAGCTTGACAATGCAATCCCCCCTGCGCTGTAAGAAGGATTAATTGAATGAGGACTTCGATAACTAACAAGAAACAATTCAAACAGCATACTCAGACACTCTAAGTGCAGGAAGATAATTTTAGTTTCGAGAATGCTTTATAATCATCAGACAATCAGCCATTGCCGTTACACCTTTATTCACCTTAAATACTGCTTTGCACATAAATTTGATTTGCTGCTCATGGACTATCAGAATTATGGTGCATTTATAGTTGAAACGTTCAGCATAATTACCAACATCAAAGATCTGTTCTTTGGAGGGAAGGGGAGAATGAAAGTAAACAGTAGTTGTATTCATGCAAGAAAGGTAAATACTAAGTTGCATCACCCAAGCTTACCTGCGATGAATGCAACCAAGTGACAGTGCAACTGAACCAGCATAGTTTGAATCAACAGCTGAATTTATATCACCAAGGAGAACTCTTGTCTGCAGTGATACGTAACAATTAAAATGACGAAAAAAAGATGAACACTAATGGATAATTGAGGTTCTTAGGGATTCAATAACACTAGTTGTTGCATGACGCTACTAGATGCAACTCAGAAAGCTATCCTAGAACCAGGAGGTTATGAAAAATACAAAATGGAACCAACCAATCTGGCAGTAAACACATCATTTCCTAGACGAGCTAATAGACCAAGTCCTTCAGATGATGCTCTGCGTTGTGAAGCACAGATGTCACCCTCAGCCAGAATGCTCTGTCAAGGTAAACATCTAAAGCTAAGAAACACTGAAAAGGGTAAAGGATAGCAATAGCACCAAAATAACATTAAAAATAGTGAAGAACCTGAAATATAGACTGTGCCAAACCAAGTACTTCCAATGGTAAGGGTTCAGGACGTAAAGCAAGCAAGGCCTGTGAGGAAGGCAAGCACAAGAGAAGCAAATGTAAGGAATGAAAACTCCAGATAAGCCAGAAGAAGTCTAAATATTTAGATCACCTTCAGGCCAGATAGCAGGCCCACACAGATGTTTGTAACACTGGTAGCATGCCAAGCTTGTTTCTTTCCAGCTCTCAGACACTGCTCAACCATTTCTAGGAGTGAGAGCATTCCCCCAACATCCTGAGAGGAACAATGACATACTAAGTTGCAAGCTACCAATGCCTCCATATCTACTTGGCTAACGTATCAACCATATTCACTTACCTCAGAAGCAAATATGTTGCCAACACAGAGGAGCTTCTGATTTACTAACATTTTGCTTATAGTTTCCGGCTTCATGATCAGTAACATGTATTAGTAATGGATATCAAACAGGGGGGGGATTAGAAACCTCATCATGGCTTCTGAAGTTGTATGGCGTCAAGCAAATCATATTTTTCCTAAAAAGCCAACCTATTCACGAAAGTTCTTTACCTCAGGAAAGCTCGGAAGCTCGTTAGCCCATACACATGGTACCAGACCATCTTTTCCACCTTGAAATGAGCGAAGTTCATCCTCGAACAAATCCCTGGTTGAACAATCAACAAGATGAATGACTAATTTGTACATTGAGCTATCACTACCAGGTCAGAAGATGACAACATTTGGTACGATGTGCACATCATTAAACATACCATGATTGCGAAAATAAAGTTAATTCCCCAGAAATAATAAATGATCCATAGAAAGAAAGGAACAAGTTCCATGATTTTAGTCTAAGTACCTTCCAGGGTTCCAAGGACCCAGCCAAGCGTCTCTTTTGTCTAACAGCATCCTCAAGCATGAACTTTCCTCACATTTGGAAGCTTCCCTGTCCCAAAAAGAAAAAAATAATGAAGTAGCTCTTCCAAAAAATGAAAAGAGAAGGGGAACATACATGCCCTTGTAGAAAAGAAATGGAATGACCCTTCCAGGGAAATACATAGCTGTGTCACAGCTGATGAGCTGGATCAAACATTCACCTATAAGGAGTTGCACATATCTGAATAAGACGGGCATGGTCTCTTCGATATACAGTTGGATCTGAAATCGACTGATAGGCTATTAGTGTCTTGATGATAAATATGTCTGATGCCTGTTTGAAAGTCATTTGGTCTTTGGCTGCCAACAGCAATATATATGATAAAGCCCTGTGTTAGCAAATTCCACAAACGTAAGTTACAGCTGCATAAGACTTATCATGCAGAAAACATATATAAGAAGATGCTTCTTTCACATGTATCATTACCTACTAAGGTATAGCAAAACTGGTTCAAGTAAGATCCCCTTGTTCATAGCACCAGAAGAGACAAAACTCTTTATGAATGCTGTCAATGCATCCACTGCAGCAGACCATACACTACCAAAAGAAACGATCTTCACAAAGTCATAAAACAGTCTCAGACTTCACAAAACTACATGAAGGTTTTTTTAATTAAATTGTACAGCCCCACAAGTGATATTGCTTGAACATCTTTTATAAAGTACACAAAGCTGCAATGAAGAACAAAACGAGACTAAAGTATAGAAATTATATTAATGTATACCCAGCAGAGCATCATATACTAGCTGTTTTACTAACAAACAAATTTCAACAATAAAAATGCAACAACTACACCTCAACACAAAATAAGGTGGGCAAGATATATGAATCATCAACGTCCATTTCACTGCATTTAGGTCATTACTCAATTGCCTTTAGGAACAAATTGGAGATTCTCTCAAAGTAGGGATTCTTTGAATTTCACACCTGTTCCTACAATGCAATACAATCTCAAGCCAAAATTGAAGACTCATGAATAATCCTAGTGTGTCAATAACATCCAAACCTAAGAAGCTAGTCGGTATCAGCTCTACGGGTAATTAGCCTACATTGTGTTCTTCTATTTGCTAAGTTTGCATGAATTCCAAGTAACTAAAAATTCTTTTTTGAAAACTGAGAAATCTCAAGGACCAGTGACACACTCAATCAGTCTTACAAGGAAGATTCATTGTATGGTATCTCCTACAAAACAAATATGAATTCTTCAATCTTGAAGTTCATTTTTTTATCATTATTTTCTGGCTAGTGGCATACTTGACAGCAAAAGGCCTGGAAGATATATGCAGCACTTATAGATGTTTACGTGTCTCAATAGAGCACTATAAATCACTCATAGTTATTGTATCCATCCATCTAATGTGGGTCAGAGTTGTGAAACTTGCTCATCCGAAATGTAGGATCTACGCTGACTAAAATGATATTGAACAGTAGATGCACACAAGGTCACCATCACCGTGTCATTACCCATATGTAATTTTTCCTAAAATCCTACGAAAATATGAATAAATATTTCTGTAAAGTTTAACACATCTTTGTTTGTTTTTTTTGAGGAAAAATTACACTAGGCAGGTTAGATATGTTATTTACACATGGCAGGTTAGGTATGTCAAATTAATATAATTTAACATATCTAACATGCATATAAGTTCTCTTCAAATTGTAATAAATCATTTTCTATAAGTTTTACATATCTAACCTTATGTTAGATTGGAGATCCTTTGTTTCACTGATATGGCGTTCTGGATTTCCTTGGAATGCAGAAGCCCATAAAGAAAGAATATCAAAAACTTGATCCTCAAGTTCCTGCATCGAATGAAATAGCACCATGAGAAACAAAAGAGGAGAAATTGAATTCTACCTACAAACCAATTACTGTACCTCTTTTGGCATGCACGCAAGCAGTGAGGACAAGAGCATCCACCCAGCCTCCTTTTCAACAGCTGCTGCCATAGGATTCCGACTCGATTCCATTATCATTTTCTTAGACAGTTCAAGTACTGATCTGGGTAACCTGCATAAGGTCCCAAAGAAAAATCAAGATAAAGATTTTTTATTTTTTTTGATAAAGGTAACATAACAAGATAAAGATTTTAAAAAAAGTATGAAAGGACATGAATAGATGATACTTCTACCAACTACAGAAAATGCATTTAACGGGAAAGATAAGGAAGCTGAGAAAATAGCCCTAGCAACAGATATGATGATAAATGAAGGGAAAAAATCTACAATCCTGTCAAATCCGTTTTCAGATACTGTTTACCAGTAGTGTTGCTTCTGGTGCACCATACCAGAATGACAGAAACAGGTTACTCATAGAGAAATGGATTTCGGGAATAAAAATACAGCAGAGAGAAGTTCGAGGAAATAAACAGCTTAGTAACATTGTACAAGTAGGACAACCAAGACAATGATACAACTGTTACCAATTGCTCTTCAGATCAATATGTATGCCTCAACAAAGTAAATCTATGTATCTCAAATTTCAATGACAGCTGGGTACAGATACAAATTGAAAAGGAGACCTCACTGAGGAATTAGTTAATCTACAGCCGAAATGTATGCTTAACAAGATCTGCTACATATTGTTTTTTACAAAAAAAAAAATAGCCAACCTGCTAAATATTGTTTTTTAATCAAGTAAACGCATTTTCATTCGTAAACATGGCTAAAAATCTGGTTGTATACAAGGGGCATACCAAAAGGTAAAGAATCTAGAAAAATAAATGATTGTCTATAAACTCCACCTGATCTTCTATACAATTGGGAACTCTATGGGTGCACCAAAAGATAATAAGGGACCAGAGGCTACTCCTCAATGTAACAAACCTCAGACTCTACCACCGCAAAAGCTCTGCTAAATATTGTTTTCAGTAAAATTTCCAGCAATACAAAGATTTAAAAGTATGCTCTCCAATTGGTGCTAAATACTGTTTCCTGTCAAATAAAAATTTCCGGCAATACAAAGATTTAAAAGTATGCTCGCCAATAGGTGCTAAATACTGTTTCCTGTCAAATAAATCTTCTCACTTATGCCAGACAAAGCTATTATCGCCCTTAAACAAAAGTTCAGGTTTGAAATGACAGTCCAATACATAGCATTATGTTTGCATAACATCTTCAGAAGTGTTCTAATACTATCCCAAAATATTCCACTAATTAACGAAGATCGTGAACTACAAAGTTTTCAATATAAGGCCAGACTAGTTGTTCATTCTTGGATGACTAATCTATGAAAAGTAATGACACGTCTACTTCTAGCCTACTCCTATTTCAGATGTACATGAAACCAAATAGCAATTCAAAGAGCTATGGAGGAAAATCTGAAGCTGACACTTTACTTAGAAAAACTGTCCGCACAAAAGAATCAGCTTAGCAGGTGAGAAATATTTAAACTTCTCTCAGTTAAGTTCATTGGAGCATTCTAGGAGTTGGGACTATACAAAATTTCCCAGGCATTATAGATGGGAAACTCGTATTATAAAAACGAGACTAAGGTAGATATGCTAATAAGTAAGGAAACAAACGCAAAACTTTCAGAGATTTTGCAAAGTGAAGAAATATACATAACTAAAACTAATCAATGGTCATAACTCGCATGGGAACGGTAAAAGGTTATGCTCTTTTTTTTTCTTTTTCTTTTTTTTTGGGGGGGAGGGGGAGATAAAGCTTAGAAATAAAAGGAGGAAGTCATTACCGAGATGGATAACCAAGAGGTAAGTTTGGAGAAATAGACACCAAAGCTGCCAAAACTGCAGCCTGACCATCTAGACACTCCAGCTCATACTTTAGATTAGTTCCCTGTAAATCACACAGAAAAATAGACCATTAAACCGATTAGTCCTGTAATAGAACGCAATGCACAACTGGACTTCAGGAGGAGAGAAAATGTCAGGCATGGGACATAGCTCCTTTGAGACAAAGGAATAGGAGAGCTTTTGAAGGAGCGGAAAATGAACTACTGCAACTGAGGCTTTGTTTTGGTTTTTGGCCAACTTTTATGCACCTACAAGATTATTATTAGTGCAGATGATGGGAGATCATTTGCATAACCATATTTTCCTACTAGGTCCTCCACTCTTTGTATAGTTTCATCACAAAAATAGTAACAACAAAGGAGAGATGATGATGAGGATGATAAATGAATCACTAGCACAACAAATCTTCTACCATTCTTCCCGAATAGAAGCAAAAAAATCTGTTCTGGTATTTCTTTTTAATTGAACAATTCATCTAGACTCTGAGCAGTGGAATCTTTTAGTTTAGGTAAGTAAAGAACTCCATTAGATTCACCTAGTTATAGGAAAAAACCTAATTCCGCAGAAGATGGAGAAGAATGTACTATCAGAAATACAGACTCCTCAGCGACATAATCAAACAAAAAGTTTGCTCCCTAATATCACGACACACTTCAGCCCGCTGATCATTGAGCAGGGAGAGATCCTTTAAGCAAAAAATAGAGAATACAACCAAAGACATCCAAAAAAAAAAGAGCAGCTAAACCTTACTACAGTCTTCTCAAAAAAAATCTCCCAAGTGAGCTGAGCAGCACCAAAAGTTTTACCTCTTTAATACAACTAGAATCACAAAACAAAAAAACAGTGCAGAAGTGGCAATTATTAATAACAGCCCAAACAGATTCCAGAGTTCAAATGTTTTTTCTTCTGATCAGTACTTCGGACTCGTAATGTTGACACCATATATTTCCATTATGTTTATGTTTTAATTACAAACAGCAAGTGGTTGAATTACATGCTAAAGGTTTGTTCAATCCCCAAAATACATGTAAGTTTATCATCTATGGTGTTACTACCTAGAATACAACAAAGATGACAACCATGTTCGGGTGGAATCTTAAGGGTCCATGGCTTATGATGGTAAGAGAAGGAAGTGAATGGAAACAATAAGCCAGAATTTCATAATCAGACTGAGAGATGTATTAACCTTATTATTTTTTCGTGTTTCCTCCTTATTCCTCAAACCAACCATCCAGACAGAGAACTATAACCTGGTCTTTATAATTACATTGGGTATGTTGTTGTTGTTGTTGTTTATAATTAAGTGTGAAGGCACCACGAGCAATAAAAAGATGCAGTTTCTGCATAGGATCTTGAATATGTAAAAATAGAGTGATACAGAGAACTGAAACCCATATAGGCTCGGTAACACTTCTAATAAACGTTGCCACTATTTTCATTGTATTCAAAGATATTTGAATGGAAATAGAGTTCAAAATGTTAAATTGACTTACATTAGAGGAATGGAAGAAAATATTAAAGTAATTTTTCTCAAGAATATATATATATATAACATTTCCAGATCAAACGAAAAGATCTACAGAGAGACACACACACTAAAGTAAATGTTGAAAAGTTTGATTGAGAAAATATCACCGTAAAAGTTTATAATTCGAATAATTAGATGAATCTGAATTCTAAAAGTATCATAAACTAATATTACTAATAAATGTAAGAACATCTCAAAATGAAAACAATGTCATAAGAAATGAAGCACAGGAAGTATACGCAGAAGCACAATAATTATAGGTGAACCAAGACTTCATTATTAAGACAAGGAGCCAAACCAACCTAAGTTCCATTTCCAGAGAATTCGAGACTACCGTCTTTACATTTAGCAATTAGAGATGTGGTTGGCTGGCCTAGTGTATGGTCCATAATAACAGTTTGACAAGACATGCATAACCTATTTCCACCAAGGCATGCAGTTTGGAGTGATTGGTTAAAAATGTTTTGATGAAGGGTTAGAAATGTTGAACAGATATAAGCATCATGACAACCAAAATAACTGAGAAATGCAAAATTAAACCCAACTGATAGAGCCAGGACAAACTAGAGAATTGAGCACTATGTATTTATCTTGGCTTTACCTTTTCAAATGAAATATTATCTCTAACTGCTCCAAGCATTGTTATTGCATAAGAAATCAAACCACCAATACATGTAGGATCAACCTCAGCTAATGCACGCAAGGTCAAAGCAGCCTCAACACGCACCTAATAAAGCAATAATCAAGGGGTCAGAAGACGATTAGCAGCTAGACCACATATGAACCAAGTAAATGATGGATTCAATAAAAGATCTTGGGTGTTCCAACTTGGAAGTACATAAACATATATTACAAGTCCAAAGACATAAACAGGATCCCTTCCATCCTTCACTAATGGGCTAACTCAACCAGAAGCTAGCCCGTGTCAAGAATATTGTAAATAGGTGAAGTACATAGTCATAGATAGCCCCCCTAACATTTACCAAGTGACCAAATACACCTCTCTTTTTTTATGAAAAAAATACACAAATACACACCTCTGATTGGCATATGTGTGCCTCGTACATACCCGGATCTAACCTAGTACCATGTGTGTGCTATCTTAGTGCTGGTTTTCTCAAGCAATAACATTTTTCTTATTTATCATAAAAAGAAGTTACCCCTATTTAGCACCAAGATAGAAACAAGAGTCATTTCTGCAAAAATTAAAATAAATTGCATACTTTGTTAGATACAACTGGCTTATGGCACCTGATTTATAGATTTTCTTTATGTATTTGTCCTTGAAAACTCAAGTCTTGCAACATGCTAGTATTTATTCCCATATCAAGGAAGCCTCAACCTAGTAGAAGCTTACCAATGGTGCATGATGGGAAACTGCAGAAACAACTGTGTTATCAAGAACATCCTTAAATTCAGCGGGAACCTGCATACCGAGCATACCAATTACTAACCAATCACTACTTCTACAAAGCAATCTAAACAGATTAATCATAGACCAAAAGCTTCTTTGGAGAAAAAACGTATGCAGAGGCAAACATGAATTTCACTAAGTGAAGCAATAAGCTCAAATCAATTCATCCTAGAAACAGATAACTCAAAGACCTATCACCTCCCTGCTTCAACCCTGTTGAAGAAGTATATAGGTGAATATCATCCAAGCCAAGATGAGTAATAACATCAGCTGGCAGATTCTTGCTCAAAATATTTTAGTTTTCAAGCACAGGTTAGTAGGTTAAGATGAAATTCCCACTCTCACATAGAAAATTTAAATCCTCGTGATTCAGACCAAACCTCCCAATGCTAAAGAACTTAATTAACTATCTGATAAACCTCGTGGAATAGCTAATGTGGAAGGTAAAATACATTACCCTTCAAATTCATTCTCTTAATTTCCATGAGACCCTCTAGCAGTTTTTTGTGAAAACTGTTTACATTTCCCTGGACTCTAACAGTATTTGTTAAAGCAACAACCTGGTAACAATCTACCAAGTATCAAATGATTCATTAAGTGATAAAACACAACAGGCACAGTTTGAGCATAAAACAGGTGTACAATAGGTCATAGGTTTCTAGATGAAAATCCGGACAAGTTCACATGTTAGTCTACGTATTCGGACTTGAAAAGTATACAGAGGTTAACTTGAGGTCTCATTATTTTTTGAATTCAGTAAATTAATGTTAACATTTGTACATAAGCTGTCATGCACCCCTACTCATTTGGATTGAGCGCAGCTGTTGAAATGTACATAACAATCTTGAGGAGAAAAGCTACTAATACAAATAAAAAGCTCATCCACTCTGATTGTGCACATAAACAGATGCAAGAAAAGCAACTCTGTCCACAATTTCCTCAGTCTAATTCTTGGATATCGTCATCAATCCCAACCCCGCTGTGAGCTTACTGACCCATATAATATTGACCACAACGAGAAATATTCCACAAACAGCATATTGTGGTGAACTCAGGAATCTAGTTGTGTTCTATCAAGTAAAGTTGAGACTTGAGATAAAGGATTAAAGGTTCCTGATGTGAAAGATTGGCTAAAGTATTTTTTGGTGAAGTGAAAGATTGGCTAAAGTATTTTTTTACAGTACATGTTATTGGTAAAAAGAAACATGTGTAAATAGATGCACTAGAAATAAGAAACAGCATTGATGAATGCTCACAGGAATATTGATTTTTTCATGAAGGGCATTCCCTACCTTGTGCTGTCAGATAATACAACATGATGCCAATGAGATCCAATAGTTCTTGAAGGAGAAGAAGGATCTACACTATGCAATTGCAAATGACTTTGCAGGTTTTCACCTAGACTACACATGACACTGCACTAGTAGATGATTGGATGAAGTGTGTAAAAACAATCTTTTCTCTGTAAAACTAGTGTACCTGATTATTTGCATCAACCAACTCTTTCGGAATAGTTTTCTTCGAACCTTGAGAACTCAACTTTGGAATCCGCAGTTCTAAGCTTCGCTTCTCTGTTAGGGCAGCCTATAAATTAAAGAATGGAGTAATAAAATGAATGATTGTCCCCTTAATAAATCAAATTTAATCACATTGAAAAAATACCTTAAGCTCTGCATCTTTTTCATTGCACAACGAACTGAATTTATCACAATCATAAATAGCCATTTCTAAGTTTTGCTTCTCAAAAGTACTTGTAAACATGATTTCTCACTTTCTGGCAAAAAAAGGTTTAATTACTTATCAGTAGAAATGATCCCATGAGTGCAAAAATGTCAAAAGGTCATAGGTGGTACAAGTTTCCAATCTTGAATAAACCAATCAAAGAAAATCAGGCTGCATAGAATCCCCAACCAGAGATAGTAAGTAGACCAAGCAAATCGTCCATTTGTTTAATAAAGGGGGCAAATAACAGATAAACATATGCAAAGCAGAGAAAACTGTCCTTCACCTCCCCTAGAGTTTTCAAAGCATATGACATGGTCCGCAAAGAAGCAACTCGCATGGAAGGAGTAGCATCAGGAGATTGAAGCTGCAGAAAGCAACTGTCAGAGTTTATCAGGTAACAACACACTGCAGAAGATCCATCTAAAATACCACCAAGAACTTCAACAAAAAAAATTCAAGAAAACAATTCACAAGGGACAACCTGTTTGCCCAAAATAACCAACAGGCCTCTCTGAGTAGGTTCGCTCATTTGATCAGTTATGCCCACTCGAAGGATGTATAAAATGCAGGCCTTCAGTTAATCAATTAAACTGGTGAGGACATTGAGTCAAAATCTCAAAATCGAAAAAACATATATTACAAAGCAATGAAGATGAATAAACACTGGAATAATATTTAATGTAAGGACCAAGTGGATACAAGTTGAATAGACACCAGTCTCACATTTTGGCATTTTGAGATAAGATTTTTGGAACTTACCTTTTGGTGGTCGTATCACACTTTCCTTCAGCTTATTTTAACAAACAAAACATCATGCTTCAAAGTTCATTAGCTATTGGGAGTTGGTGAGTCCACACTAGAGCAAAGTTGGTATGAGCAACTTTGTACATAAAAACATGAATTTTAAGAGATAATATGTAGTATCCATAAGCATTTTGATTGATGTTTATATCCATCAAATTCAAGTCCCATGAAGAGCATGCAATGATCAGATTTCCAGAATTATCAACTGAAATCTAGGCTTCAGTCAAGTATATGGAATAGTAATCTAGTGCAAATAAATAAAAACAGGGTGAGGACCTGAGGGGAGGGCTATAACCAAGATTAGTTGTACATTAGCAATTAGAAATTGAACACTTCATCATTTGCTTCCTGGAGTGGAACAAACAATCTCTTTCACTTCAGCAGCAGTTAAAAAGAAAATATAGCAATGATACCAGTGACCAACTAGTTAAATAAATATGCCAAAATTGAATGAAAATTTTGTGGAGTAAGAATGCACTACATACCAGTGCTTGAGCATCAAACGAACTATCAGCACGAAGCATGTCCATCACTAGAAAGATGTAATTTTCAAGCTCAGTATCAGGGTGAAGATACTTCAAGCGGATTGCCTGAAAAGAGGAACTCATCAATGGTATGTTCAGCTAACATATTTCGCATTAAATTCTTCTTGTTTTTTGGTTTGGGCGGGGAGGGGTGTAATAAAAGATTGTATCATATAGATTGCACCAAGGAGCTGAGATATTAAAAGAAAAACAAGCACATCAACAGACAAGTTTTGTTTTTCTAGACAAAAGATCCAAAGACAGTCTCTATTATTTGATAAAGTACAATGTCAATATATTATATCTGCACAAAACTTTCATAAGACAAATTTTGCCCTCCTTTTCCCAGCTTCAGTTATAGAGGAGGTGGGACATTAAACCCTAGTTATATCAAAGAAGGACAATGGCTTCCTTGATGACTACAAAAATATTCACATAAAAAAACATGGACAGACATTCACGTGCATATGTTAATTTGATATTCCAAAACAGTATAAATTGTTTATCCACTATCCCAGGGGGCGAGGGAAAGAAAGTTCAAATATAATAGAGGATTTATTGATTCATTGCTACCTGGAGAAAAGAAACCCACGACAAGGTTAGGCCAACTCGCAGAACTTTTGCCCGAGGCCCACTAGCTGCAATTTATCAACTTATCAGAGACTGAGAAATCACTGAAAATCTTCCCAAGATTTTCAAGCAAAAGCAATACAAGCACTGAAACAAAGAATCATGAAGCATGATAATTGTGTGGGAAGGAGGAGAGACAAACATATGTCAAGTTACAGTTTGCAAACATAAGACCAAGAAAGAAATCAAGCATGGAATGTTTTAAATCTGATTTTTCAATGTGAATTACTTTATTTATCTAAAAAAGAGGTTTCAAAGACAGCTAAAAAAGATGTTTCCAAAACAATGGATTGGTCCAAGAAGGGATCTCCTTTGGTTATGGAATTGTAACTAATAAGGATACTGTTGTTTGACCTAGACAGATCCCCTCATCATTACAATGGAGCAGGATAATCAACTTTGCCATTGCTCAATTATTATTATTTATGAAAGATTAGCAAAACTGAGAACCGCAACAAGAAAGAAGCTCTCTATTTCTTGTTTGAAATAGGATACTAATAGATTTTTTTACTAAAATATGAAAAATTCACAACTTCTGACTAAAAATAGTTGTGTTTCTATAAGACAATCAATCCCCTCAGGGAGAGATGCATCAGAAAATGAGACACCAGTATATATTGCGTTTAATGCTCTAAATCAGGAGCACATGCCACCTTTCCACATTCTGATCCCAATGATTGATGTGTTTAAGACCTAAATTCACTGCAATGACTTTTCTGACAATTGAAACATATATATTACAGTTTAACTGAAAAGGATATGGGGATGATGTTATATGTACCTTTTACAAATGGCAAAGTTAAGTGTCTCTCTAAACCCCCATCAAGTTTCTTGGGAGTAAAATGACTTTTTCCCCTTGGTTGTACCTAATGAGCATAAGCAAAGTGAGAACAAGCAATATAGATCTTTTAAAAACACTTAGAATATATTTATCTCCTCCAATTTGAGGGTTTCTTTTTGCCCAGATTTTGTTTCCGTCTTTTTCTAGGTTCCCTCGTCTTGGTACATTTCTCTTTTTATTATATCATTTTCCTTCTTTTAATGAGATCATGTTATTTTATCAAAAAGCACTTACAACCTGTGCGTCAGGATTCATCCCAAGACCAAGCAATGCTCCCAAAGCTTCGGCGAATGCATCCCTTACGGACGATATAGGATCTTCAAGGGCCTGCAAAATACAGAGTTGGAGATTCAGTTTTTACTTCCAATATGGTGAGAAGAAGCATCCCAATTAAAATGGGAAATTCAAAGGAGAAGAGAAATTCACCAACCTTGACACAAGAAGAAGAAGCATTATCAAGTTCTCCAACCCCTAATCCTGGCCCTCCGATGTTCGCCAATGCTTTTAGACATCTAGCTGCAGCTACTCTAACAATAGATGATTTGTCCACGATCCCAGTTCGCATAATGATACGAAATGCATCAGTATATGCTGAGGCAGCAGCACCTCCACCAGAGCCTTCCAAAGCATTTTGAAGCATCTGTAAAGCCTCTTCTCTAACAAAGTCCTGAATGAGCAAGTGGTTATATAATAAAATACCAAGTTTTAAAAGCTAAACCGCTTTCTTTTCATAAGTTCTTTTTTTTTTTTTTTGATAACCGAGAAATCCGTCTGTGACCCGCCCTTTGGACCAATCACAGCCTTCTAAACTCGGTGGTTTCATAAGTTCTTTTTTTCTAAGTCAAATAAACGTTTAAAAAGCAAAACATGAGCTTGAAGGAAAAAGAATAGAAGATTTTGTGCAACATATGGACAGGACCTTCAGAGATTCCAGCCAGAAACTCTATAGTGTCAGTTAGATTATTATTCGGAAAAAAATTGATAATATCAACCGATTAAAAAAGTAAAAAGGCATACAACACCTATTACGCACCAATGCAAAATACCCAAGAGTTCTCCATGAATCAACCAAACTCTTTTCAGCACCCTTAGCCTATAATGACAGCTCACATATCTCAATCTCCCACAAGTGCACCAGTCGCCAGTCCTAAAACTAATCCCAGGTTGGACATTTAGATGTGCATCATAGCCATAACCTAAGGATTTATTTACATTCTTTTTTGTTTGAGAAGGAGAAATGGCGTATTTAAGTGATCCATGCAGGTCATAACATTAAGGATGTAGTAAGGCTTCAAAGTAATCATAACGACAGGCTCTAAATTTTATAAAAATCCCAAAGTAGAACAGTTGGGGCAAATACAATAAAACTTTAAACAGCAATGTCTGCAACATTACTGGACTTCATAATCTAGTGCATTTGTTACACAAAATGTCCACTGATGTCAACTCCAGAAAACCATAGAAACTCGTCTACTGTGTATCGTATCTGATCAACTCATGTCTCAATCCCATTACAGTAGTAGTATATACTAACTTTCAGCTACTCATTTACTCAAGCTATCTGCAATGGGAGTTATATATTGGTTGAAGCTGGATTTATCAAAAGCAAAAAACAACTTCGGGAGGTGGTCATCTTTTCGTTGGTACCCATTGTTTTAAAGGGACAGCAATTTCAGAACCCAATTTCACCAGTATCCCTCTGAAAGGACCCAAATCAAGTTACACAACCAACAGAACAGCATTAATTAAAATGCCTTCCCGACTCACACATTCTGAGGAAGCTAACTAGATTGTATTGAAAAAATAAGCTAGCAAATTTCTACTCCTAAACAAAGCGATTCATGCATGAACACGTACTTTGGATGGGCAATGAATGATAAGGAAATCTCAGTACCTCATTGAACTTCAGCAGTTTTGTGACAATCGTGGTTGTTTCAAGTAAGCCTGAAGTGATTCGTCTCCCAAAATAGCGATACAATTCTCCCAAGCACTCAGCAGCACCTAAAATAAGTGACTCGGTATAGCAACTCTCATATACTGAAGGAAATCTCATAATGCATATCAAGAAAAATAACATCACAAGGCATAGATCCTACATATCAATTAAAACAAAGAAAACAAGATGCAACCTGAAAACAAAGACACGGAAAAATTGATCCTATTCCATATAAGATAGTTATGGGATTGTCAACTTTATAAAGCTCGACTTCTCCAGCAAAAGATAACATGGGCATATTTGGGTGACTAATTACAACAAAACTAATATGGAATTCTAGATAAACTATTCAATTCTATGAAGCTACAACAACCAGATAAAAACTAAAAAGGAAATTTATCCTGCAATAAATGATCCCAAGTTCTAAGTGCAATTATTAATGAGCTAAAGCATAAACAACAGAAATCAAAGTTTTAGTGATTATTGACGCACCCGCGATTCGTTGAGGCTCGCTCTTCTTTCCATCAGAGAGAAATCCCTGCAAACTGCTAGCCCTGGAGTATATTGAAATACTGTCACCTTTTTGTATCATCCTTGTCATTGCCACTGAGGCCAAATGACGCACCGGTTTCCTTGCGCCTAGCACAAGTAGAGAATAAAGTGCATCCTCACATTTCCTTTGACACAGCAGTATAGAATCCTGAAATTTGACAACTTTAGGTATCCATTAATCCAACTCCCCCCACCCCACACACACGCCCCATCTCACAAAACCAAATCTATATCAATTAAACTGGATCAAAGACGATTCAAATAAATTTTGAAATTAATTAAATAATGGAGTTCAAATTATGCATTCATTACATCTGTGAAGGAAATTTGAGATTGATAGAAAGAATAGTGAGTTTTACTGTGAATACACAATGTGGAGTGTATTCCAAGAAGTTAAAATTTTGAATGTGAATCAAGATCTAAAGGCGAAGTGAGAGAGAAAGAGAGTGACCTTAGACTCTTCGGCAATGGCGGATATGAGATCAGAAAGAAGATCAAAACAGAGGAGAGCGTCGGGAGACTTGTGAGACGCTGATGCGACTATTGATTCCAACTGCGCCACCAAGACTCCAAATCTTGATAGTGGGACGTCATCTCTAACGAAATTCTTCGCCATTGTAACCAAATCTTTAGGGTTTTAGAAAGCAGACAGTATTCCCCATTTGTTGGGGGTGAAGAAGCGAAATGTAATCGGAAAAATAAAATTATTAGTAGCAGAGAGATGGAAAGGTAAAGGCTATGGCGCAGGACTAAGCGCTAATGTATAGAGTGCTTACTAGTGCTTCACCCGTACGCGGTAATTTATGGTGCTTTATCCATACGCAGTAATTTATAGGGTGCTTCATCCATTCGCGGTAATTTATAGTGCTTTATCCATACGCAGTAATTTATATATGGAAATTGTACCCCCTCGGCCACTGCACACATATTAAAAGGACATAAAATAAAAATCATTTTCACTTTTATCATTTTATTTATATTTAAATTACTCTTGAAAATATAAATAATTCAAAGTAACAATTAACTCTCTTAAAGTTATCACCTGAAATTTTATAAATGAGGGGCAAAAAAGGAGAAAAAATTCTAACAACTCTCTTGAACTTTGAATAATTCACTCATTTTAAAATTTGAACTATGAAAAAAGGCTCAACAATTCTGTTATTAGGAAATGGAGGGAGTAAAAATCGATTCAATATTATTTTTTTCTTTGTTATTTTCTATTTAATTTTTTTTCGGTTATCTATTTTTGTTATTGTTTGCTAATTATATTCAATTTCCTTTATGTTTTTTTTTTAGCATTTTTCTAATTTTATTTGGTTAGTTATTTTTTTATATAGATGTAAATCTATTCAAATTTTAATATGGAACTTACATTGTGATTAACAAAATTATACTCAACTATAGTTTAAAATCTTAAAACAAGAGATGTATCTATTTATATCGAGCTTTTGATAATACCATAAATTTTAGATAGTCATATATATCGATCCTTTAAATTAATCCGCAGTTCAAGCGGAATTTTCACATTTAAATATTTAGTTTTTAGTCCTAGGATGATGATGAAGGAAAATCACTGTCTTTATTTTATATTCGGAAAAGGGTCAAAATTTCCCCCGAACTATATGAAATAGACCATTTATACCCTTCGTTACATTTTGGGATCAAAAATGCCCCTGCTGTTATCCTAAGAGACCACAAATACCCTCAAGAGTTAACACCCCAAATTTTTGTTGACGTGGCAAGCCACGTAGGACTAATCCTTCCACCTAAGCGTTGCCAACTAGGATTCACTACAAAAGAACTAGACCTTTAGCGGCAATAACAGTCGCCACAAAAGCCCAGAAAATCGTCACTAAAAGTTTTTAACATTAAATTCTAATTTTGTGTTTTTTTCTTCATTGTTTTTAAAAAACCAAATATGATATCGATTGAGTAGGAGTTTGAAGACACTATATGTTTTATTTTTATGTCAT